CCCCTAAAACCTAAAAGGGATCCCTCTGACCTCACACCCTCATCCTGGCCTCTATTTTAATTTAGGACATTTGGATCTCATCCACATGTCATCTCACTGGACAGATGCAATGTAGATCAGACATTGAGCCTGGGAGTCAGAGATTTGATTCCTGGATTAGCCACTTGTTAGCTCTGTAACCCTAGACAAGTTGTTTGGCCTCACTAAACTCCCTTGTAAAACAGGAAAAATAGAGTAGTTAGGAAAATTAAATGAGATAACGTTCATTCAGCCATTAGCATCGTGCCTTACTCAGGTTAATTAAGCTCTCAATAAATGTTAATTATTATTATTGTTTGTCTTCCCTCCACCCCACCCCTCAACTGTAGTTGACCAGCTCAATATACCTAAACTCCCTGCTGTCAAGTCGGATTTGACTCATAGCAACCCCTCCTTGGGTTTCTGCGGCGGTATCACTACAGAAGCCGATCGCCCAACCTTCCTTTCAAGGAGTGGCTGGTGGGTTTGAACTGCCAGCCTTCTGATTAGCAGTCAAGTGCCTTAGGCACTATGCCAGCAGAACTCCCAGCTCAATATCTGGAGGTGGAATTTTATTTTCCTTCTTAAAATTTTATTGTGATTTGGGTGAAAGTTCACAGAGCAATTCATTTTCCATATAGCAGCTCATACACATTTTGTTTCATGACATTGACTGCAGTTCCCCACAATGTAACAGCTCTCTTCCCATTTCCTCCCTGTAGTTAACCTCTTCCCCGTGACCTTCTTTCCTATGCACTCCTGCCCCCTGAACTATCTGCCTGTGTAAATACTGCCCTTCTGTTCTCCCATTATTGATCATTCTAAGGAGTGGATCTTGATGTAAATGTTGACCCTATATGCCTGTTGTTTGGCTGGAAGCCACAGGAATGAGTTCAATTCCAGACCTGAAGGGTAACTAGGGGCCATAGTCTCAGAGGTCTCACCAGGCTCTGTCAGATGAACAGATCTGGTTGTTTTTTTTAAATGATTTTGAGTTTTGTTCCACATTTGTCTCCTACTCTTGAAGGTGGAATTTTATTAGATCATCTCTCAGTTTCCAGGTCTGAGTAGGCTTCCTCCAAAGAGATGTAGAGACTTTGAAAAGAGATGAATTTCTGAGAATCAGAGATCTCAAGAGAGGAATGAGTAAGAACCTATGATCGTTGGTCAGAACAGGCTGCAGAGGGCAAGATAGAGGAAATGATGCTTTGCCTTGCTATTCAGCTACCAGGATCAGAAATCTAGCAGGACCACAGTAGTAAAATCTCTTCTTACCGCAAACCTGAGAGTTGCTATACTAAGTAATTTCAATGTTTCTGTTACTTGCAGCCAAGATTTTTTCTGACTCCAGGGTTTGACCAAGTTCCCTCAGTGCTTGAACAACAGACCCAAGGCTCTGGCTTCTTGGAGTTCAGACCCTTGAGTCACGGGTCTTCCAGGGGCAGTCCCACCCAGAGTCAGGCTCACAACTGGAGAGAAAAACTATTATTAAAATGGGTATTATTAGATATTGCCAATAAATTGCTTATGTATCTATTAAAAACAAAGCAAAACAAAAACCATAACCCTTTAAGTTACATATTTTTATTGGCATCCCCACTGTAGATGGGGTAGAGGGGGTCAGAGGAGTAAAGAATGTTTCCCAAGGTCTAAATGTTCAAACTCCTTCACCAAAATGGAAGCTCATGAATGATAATAATATTAACAATATTCATGGGGGAACAACTCATGGCCTGGCCCAGAATAAGTGCTTATTCAAGGTTTGATGAATGAATGAATGATTAAATGAGTGGATTTGAAGATAGCTGTTAAAAGATTGTCAGCTCCACCCCAACCATGGAGAGGCCTGTAATTCAATACTCTGCACTTACCACTGCAACCAGCCCTTCTTACTTCTATACCCAGAAACTAGTCTAATGGTATTAACCATCCCAGCCAGTCAGGATCCCATTAAAAGCTTTAGTCCAGCCACTGCACCCCCATCCCAGGTCTTGGCTCTGGGCCCTGGGCTGGGAGAGCAGTCTGGTTGTTTACCAGGAATTTGGACCTTCTTCAGAGAAAAGCACAGATGACCTATTAGTCTAATTCAAGCACTTAGCAAGGAATGACTGCACCATTCACACCCCCAGCCTCAGGCTAATGGAGCCAAGGCAAATGGAGAGGCCATGTCTGCTCAGAGATCTAGGGAGGGGAAGAAGGGGGAGGTCAACCTAGTGCCCCACTGGAGTTTGCAGGGAGGCAGCTTGGCTGAGCATTTTGTGTTGTAGGGCGGGCTCTACAAGAATGTATAGGGAGAGGCTTGCCTAGTCCATTCACCACTCTAGTAGCTCCTCTACACATTCTACCCCTCAGTTACCTCCTCACTGTCTTGAAACTTGGCTCAGGGAAAATGGGAAGACTACCAAACATCCATCAATATAGAACTGGTTAAATAAACTATGATGCGTTTAAAGAAGTCCACATATGCAGTTGATATAGGATGATGCGGTTCTAGCTCTCATGAATGCTGAAGGATGTCTGTGACTTGCACTTTGATGTGCAGTGTGTGACACCCTCCCCCCCAAGGAAAACAAGACTTATTGCCACTGAGTCAATTCTGACTCATAGTGACCCTATAGGACAGAGTAGGGTTTCCCAATGCTGTAATCTTTACAGAAGCAGACTGCCACAACTTTCTCCTATCGAGTGGCTGGTGAGTTCAAACCATTGATCTTTCAGGTTAGCAGCTGAGTGCTTTATGTTTGAACCACCAGGGATCCTTTTACATAAAATTATATATAGTCATAGATTCTCATGTGCACAGATGTTCAGGGAATAGTCTGGAAGTTTGAGAGTGGTTGCCTCTGGGTGATGGGATTTCAAAGATCATTCTTTAACTGCTAGCTTTTTGAATCCCTACTATGTATCCAGTGGGAGCTCTGGTAGCGTAGTGCCAAAGGCACTTGACTGCTAACCAGAAGGCTGGAGGTTCAAATCCACCAGCCACTCCTCGGAAGGAAGATGGGGCAATCTACTTCCGTAGTGATACTGCCTCGGAAACCCAAGGAGGGGTCGCTATGAGTCAGGTCCGACTCGATGGCACATAACAACAACAACATGTATCCAGTACAATGCTTTTACATAGCTTATCTCACTCCTTATGAGGTGGATTCTATGCCTTTTCATATTACAAATGTGGATTATAAAAAGGCCCAAAGAGGTTAAGCCAAGGTCATATAACTAGTGGCTGACAGAGTCAATTGTTGGAGGATTAAATGAATAAATGCAGTAAAGTACTTGGTACACAGCAGGGGCTTAATGAATGGGGCTTCCTATTACAATGATTACACAGTACTTATCACATTAAAAGGGAGCTCTGGTGGCATAGTGCCTAAGGCATTTGACTGCTAACCAGAAGGCTGGCGGTTCAAACTCACCAGCCACTCCTCGGAAGGAAGGTTGGGCAATCTACTTCCGTAGTGATACTGCCTCGGAAACCCGAGGAGGGGTCATTATGAGTGGGACTCAACGGCAGTGAGTATCACATTAAAAAAATCAAACTCACTGCCATGGAGTCGATCCAACTCATAGCGACCCCTCTTTTGGTTTCCAAGGCAGTATCACTACAGAAGTAGATTGCCCAACCTTCCTTCTGAGGAGTGACTGGTGGGTTTGAACCGCCAGCCTTCTGGTTAGCAGTAAATGCCTTAGGCACTATGCCAATGCTGTGGTTGACTGAAGGCCCCTGTCTCACCTGCTATGGCAGACATTGTATGGGGTCCCAGAAATGGCTGGAGCTGGGACAGATACCAGGTCCATAGCCTCATATAAATAATTTTTTTTCTGCCAACTTCATGCCAAGTACACACACAGGTTGAAACATGCCCACAATGGCACAGCAGTCAGTGGCAGGGTTGCTGTGTCTCCTGATCACCTAGCCTGTGGTTTTCTGTCTGTAACACTCCTGGTTCTATATGGATTTGCAATGTGAGAAAATATAAGTCACATAGGCTAAGGATCGCATGGTCTACCAGTCCCTTGGACTAATTGTTTCCATGTGTCTCTGGGTTTCTTCATTCTTCTTTGCCCTGGAGGAGGAGAGACCCATTGTTGCATATAGACCAGTTTGCAAGCTTTTAAGATTCCAGTCACTAGTCATCAAAGTAGGATGTAGAACAATGTTTTTTTTTTTCTTCTTTTTTAAATTTTTGCAGTGTTCTCTCCCCTCCCTTCTCATCCCTGGTAACCAACAAAGAAGGTTTCCTTCTATATATAAACAGAAAAGAGCAAAGTTTTAAGTCAAAATGTTTAATCATGATTTAAAAGTCCAGGGAGACTTTGGGGCAGTAGCAGGAATAAAGCAAGGCTCAGGGGCTCTGATTCCTCATGCGCAAATGCTCTATAGGGGTCTTGGGCAGGGCAGTGCAGACACAAAGTTCCCATTACTAATTGAGAGGAGGGGGTGTGTGGGAGAGGAAGAGGGAGGGAGAGATGAGAGGGGGTGGGGAGAGAGGGAGAGCACCCAGAGTCTTGCTTCAGCCCTCCTCATGATGGGAAATATCTTTCTAGGCTGCCTTAGACCACATAGTCCTGCCTGCTTGGAATGCATTAGAGAGTAACTGATTTGTTAGATGGTAAAGTACTTCGTCTCTACCTGATCCTGATGGGGAGCAGGAAGGGATCAGGAGAGAGTTTGGTGGAAATGGTCAGTACTAGAAGATATGACTAAATGGTGGTGTCACCAACTCCTAAGGAGGGGTAGCCATAGTCAGAAGTAGTGGTGGGACAGGAGGAATGAGAATCCAGCCCATTAAAGATCTGGAGGTCAATAACTGCTAGCTTTTACAAGGCCTCATTAGCAGTCAACTGGATGGGTGGAGTGGGGTCAGGGTTGCCACACAATGCACTGCACTTGCTTTCTGATGCTGTCCTTTCCTCATTGCTTACTGGCTGCAGGTCAGGCTTGTATGGTGGACAGGAAGAAGGCCCTCGAGGAAATCCAGCTACCAGAATTTCAGGAACAGGCTCAAGATAAGTGTGCAGGAGAAAAGAGAGGGCACCCAGGGCTGTGGTCTCAGAGAAGGGTTTTTATTCTGTGGAAGAAATGGAATAGAGTCAACCTAGGAGGAGCCTGCATCTCCACCCACTTTAGCCTCAGTCAAGACTTGCTCCCTCCCCTGAAATATCCATCAACAGCATACAGTATTTGTAACAAGGAAATCACTCCCCTCCAGCCCCTTGTCTACCTTGTTTTGGGCTTTCTTCAGCTGCTATGGTAACATGAAGGGTGAAATAGAGGAGGCCCTACCTGGTGTTCCATCACAGAAAAGGTAGAGTCTGTCAAATCCTGGAAGAAGAGTTGGCTATGAAAACGCATCTTGGCTGCAATGGCCTCCACTGAGAAAAGGAGGGAAGGTAGATTGGAAAGGGGTGGTTGTTGGAGATTTCTCAGGGTCTCAAGGAAGGAAAGGGAATGCCATAGGATCCTAGGGTGTAGGTGGGTGGGAGGAGGGTATAGGTTAATTTCTTATTCTGCTTACTTGCTCCTTAGGCTGGAGAGTGTCCCTGAGGCCCGCAGAGATTGAATTGGAAGCCTAGGGAGGTCACTCAGAACATGAAAAGGAAGAAAGGTCCAGGCTGGGGGTATAGAAATCTATACTGAAGAGGAGGGTTGTTCTGTCTGCAGGAGGTGGATGGAACCCATCTGGAGCACATATTTGACCCTTCTCCCAACCCCCTTGGTTACGCTGACCTAGCCACAGCAACTGGGAGCAGGGGACCATACTCACTGAGGCAGGGATTATGTGAGAAGGCCCCTTCCTGCCGCTGACACTCCTCCTGCAGGTTGCCACTGCCTCTGCAGGTGCAGCTTAAGGCAACACTGGTGTTGGTGCTGCTGACAAAGTTGGGAGTCATGACAGTCCCTGTGTGAGATGAAGAGGGAAAGGTGTTTTTGAGGACTGGGCCAACCCTAACTTCTGCTCTCACCCTCTCCCACCGTTTCAGAACATGCCTTCTGGGTTCAGTCACCAGAGCATTCTCACCCCCCAGGACTGGCCAAGCTGTGGGTTCCCCCAGCCTCACCAATCAGCCCCATGTATGCTCGCAGACATCTGGCCTGCTCTGTTGCACAGGTCCTTAGGACATCTGTGGGATGGCAGTGAGTCTGAAAATCTGCCAAGCGTGATCTGGAAGAAAGGCGATTTCAAGAGTCACCATTGGTCTGCAGTGTTCTCCTTTGCTTCCCTTTAGCTTGGCCTGTTCATCTTCATGCAAATCCTCCTCTGCCTTCATAGTCTGACCCAGGACCTTCTCCTTAGTGAAGCTGGCTCCTGTCAAAACTAAACGTACCATCACTCCACCTCTCCATCTCCCACAATGTATCACTCTGTATTTGGGCTCCATGATCCCTAATTATGAAGACACTAGGCAATAATCTCAGTTTACTTGACTATAAAAAAAAGAAATGATAACAGCTCTACCTCATAGTGTTTTTGTGAGGATGAAATAAGATAATATTGGTTCAGCATTTGGCACAATGCCTGGTACATACTTTTTAATACACGCTTGTTGTTGTTGTTGTTAACACTCACTCTATAATAAGTAAAGTAAGTGGTAGAACAAAGTTGTAAGCCTACGTTGGTATGCCTCTCAATGTAAACAATTGTCATTTGAATGGATAATAACTTCAATTTGGTTGGTGAGTGCTGTGCCCTGAGAAGGCAGAGGAAAACCAGAACAGAATTTCAGCTTTGCTGGACAATATGTATCAAACACCTTAAAAAAATATTCATATTCTTTGATCTAATAATAAACACATCCTAAGTAACACTTAAGAGATGTGCATAAAGATTGATGAACAAGAGTGATTTTGTTGCAGCATTATTAATAGCAATAAAGAACTGAAGGCAACCTAAATATCAAACAATAGGGGAATGGCTAAATAAGTGAATATTTTACATATAATGTAGGAATACAATGTTGTTGTTGTTGTTAGGTGCCTTCTAGTAGACCCTACAAAACAATGCCGTCCTGTGCAAGCTTCACAACCCTTGCTATACCTGAGCCCATCGTTGCAGCCACTGTGTCAGTCCATCTCGGAAGGACACAATGTAGGGATTGAAAAAATCAAGTTGTTAAAGTATGTTGTTTTATGTGCTGTCGAGTCAGACCTGACTCATAGAGACCCCTCCTTGGGTTTCTGAGGTAGTATCACTACAGAAGTAGATTTCCCAACCTTCTTTCGGAGGAGTGTCTGGTGGGTTTGAACCACCACCCTTCTGGTTAGCAGTCAAATGCCTTAGGCACTACGCTACCAGAGCTCCTATGTTAAAGTATAGTAAATGATAAAATAAGCACTATCATTTACTGAAGAAGTCTGGGAAGCACAGTGGTGAAAGCACTTGGCCTTGGCTGCTAACCAAAAGGTTCCCAGTTCAAACCCACCAGCTGCTCTGCTCCATGACAGTCTGCTTTTGTAAAGATTATTGCCTTGGAAACTCTATGGGGCAATTCTCTGTTCTATATGGTCACTATGAGTCAAAATTAACACAACAACAATGAGTACCATTTACTGAGAACTTTCTCTGTACCAGTAAGCTAAGCATTTTACATAAATTATCTTATTTAACTCTCATCAGGATCCCATGAGGTCTGCATTAGTATTCAGTTTAAAGACAACTAAAGGCAACCTTGGGTTAAGTAATAAGTTTTAGGTTATGTGATGGAATCTTACGTGATTTGCACACGGTCACATGGACCCAAGATTTAAAAACTCACATCTGATTTCAGGCAGTCTTTACCACTACTCCATACTGCCTCAACCAGAAATGCTTATGAGATACGTAAGGTAAGTGAAGGAAGCAAGACACAAACATATTCCTAGAGTGTCTAAGTTTGCTTATCTATATAGGAAAAAAGAAAAAGAAAAGAAAGTTATGCCCCAAAAGTACAGTGAGTTATCTTCAGGTGATGGAACTCTGAGTGATTTTTGCATGTTACTGTATTTTCTTAATTTTTTACATAAAGGGGAAAAAAAAAAAAAAAAAGAAGTTCTTTTTGAGAAAATAGCTTCAGAAAATATCCAACGTGACAACCTGGTGAAGAAGCCAGTCAGTCCCTAGAGAAAGGGAGGGTATCAGGTCCAGCTTCACACAGGCAAGGCAGCCCCCAACGGGCGCACCACACCCCTTCCCACCGGGGCCCACCCTCACCTGCACAGCGAGTTGGAGAGGCAAGTGCGGCGCAGCTCCAGGCAGTTGGGCACAACAGGCGGCAGCGCACAAGTAGGGGCGATGGTGTTGCGCCTGCGTTCCCCGCAGCCCCTGTCCTGGGGTGCACACGGACACAGCAGCAGGGCCTGAGCAAGGGGCTCGGCAGCTTTCTCAAAGAAGGCACGTAGCTGCTTGAGGCAGGCGTGGCGCTGGCAGTGGGGTCCAGAGCACGCCTGCCCGTAAGCCTTGCGTAGCCGGTCACACTTGTCATTCAGAGTGCACAGCATGGCGAACTTGAGGCAGAGGTCTGAATCTTGGGGAAAAGGGGCAGCAAGTCACCAGGCTGCGCTCTCCATGTACCCCTGTAGCCAGACCTCTCTAAGAATCCCGTAAGCACCCAAATTTAACACTGAAGGCTGTGGGGGAAATGGGAGCAGCAGGACCGCCTTGAATAAAGCCACTCCTAACCCAGGGCTTTTTCCCTCTACCCACAAACTACATTGGTATTATTGAGATTCCCCAGCCTATCCCTCATCTTGACCAGATATTTAAAAAAAAAAAAAAAAAAAATCCATATACATACATGTTGTTGTTGTTGTTAT